AGATTTTCCTGGAATTTCATTACGGGAATTACATTGTCAGGAAGTTGGTTTGAGGAGAAGGGTGAGAACCGAACTTCATGCTGAGTTGTTTTGTTCTTTTCGGCGTTGATGTTCGCTCACGAGGACGTTCGCGCTCAAGGAGGGGGCGACTGTCACGCGGCGCCGCGTGACATTATCCTTTCCCATCAAACGAAGTTCCTTTGGACATCAGTTCGCCATCAACGACCCAGTTCGCATGAACTTCACCACCCACGAGGGTATTAGGAGGCTAACTTCGTCGAGGACGAAGTTAGTCATGTAGGAACTTAGGGGGATACGAAGTTAGGAAGATATGAAGTTAGGGAGATACGAAGTTAGGAGGATACGAAGTTAGGAAGGCACGAACTTCGTCGGGGACGAAGTTCGTGAGGTACGAAGCTCGGGACGTCGGGTTGAACGAAGTTCTGCGTTGACGAAGTTAGGGAAGGACGAAGTACTTAAGGGCCGAAGTTCCCAGAGATCTTTGACGATCTCTGGTTGTTGTCTTAGTGATAGAAGTTAGTAAAGTACGAAGTTATTACACCCAGAAGTTATTGTCACCTATTTCATATCTCGAACAACGAAGTTGGTAAAGGTCGAAGCCCACGAAGTTATTGGCCGTCGGTCGTAGGAAGTTAACGAAGAAGCAACCCTGTGACAAATAGGTTATTGCAGGACTACATTGATCAAGGCCTAAAGCCCCACCAGATCATCGATCTTCTTAACAAACATCCCGATAAACCTCTCCTGACCCCTATCGATGTAAATAATTTCAAGGCTCGGTATGAGAAGAACAGACAAGAAGGAAGAAGTGTGACTGAAAGCTTGTTTTTAATGTTAGAGAAGGAGAAACGACTTTTTAAAGGATTAGTTAATAGCCACCACGAAACTTTGGGGTTAGTTTATACGACTGAAAAGGCTCGGGCGTTACTCCACCAATACCCCACTGTCCTCATGATGGACTGCACATATCGAACCAATCGTTATCGTCGACCTATGCTTCATATCACTGGTTCAACAGCAACAAACCTCACCTTTACTGCAGCCATTGCTTTTCTCGATCGAGAGACAACAGATTGGTACGACATTACTCTCAAAGCTTTTCTCGATCTAATGGGACCACTAAATCATCGAATTCAAGTCGTTATAACCGACAGAGAAGTAGCATTAGCCAACGCCCTTCGAAACCACCTCCCCAATGTAAAACAACAATTCTGCACATGGCATCTACGGGAAAACGTTAAACACACATGTGATCAGTCTAAATGCTTTAAAGACGAAGAGGATCCTGTCAGAGCAAGGTCAGAGTTTGGTGATATGTGGATGAGAGAAGTGGTAGAAGCAAAAGACGAATTCAAACTTCAGCAGGGGATGGACAAAATGCGAGAGAAGTACTGTTTACCTGCTCATGGCCCAGTAATTCGATACCTCGAACGACTACTTACTTCGAAGGAGAAATGGGCCCACGCTTTTACCAACAGAAATCGTAATCTTGGACAGCACACGACTTCTCGCAATGAGGGTGAACATCGAGCATTAAAAGAGTACCTAGAGACTCATACGGGTACCCTCTGGCATGCTGTTTTAAAGACACACCGATTCCTGGAGAAACAGTGGGATCGAATTACATTAGAAAACGGTCAGCAAAGGATTAGAAGTGCTATTGGTGACAGAGTACTCAGTATTATTCGCAGAGACGTCTCAAAAACTGCTGTTACCGAGTTAGAGCATCAAATTCGACTTGCTAGCAAACTTCTCACACACCCGAACCCGTCTTCTCACTGCTCAGGACGATTTTTCGACTCAATGGGGCTACCATGTGCTCATACATTGGTTGATATCATTAAGCAAGATGGGGTACTCACGATCGACAAGATACATCGTCATTGGAGGTTGCTACCACACCGTGGCTTCGAAAAGCTTCTTGAAGACACGAATTCAAGAACTCAAGCCACTGCTTTTCGGGCCACAGGTGTTTACCGACTTGACGATGAATTTGAGGCCAGGAATTCGTCTTCAGATCGTTTTGTCCTTGATCCACCTATCAACCTTGGCCTTCGGGCTCGTCAGGCCATTCGGGCCTCTGCATCACAGTTTCCCCCTTCTCAGCCTGCTACCCAAGCCTCAGGAATCACTGTAGTTCGTCCTACACCAATGTTCACACCTCCTGGGCCACCCTCTACTGCTCCACCCCCTCTGAAACGATCTAGAGCCTCAAAAACCTCAAATAATGGTCCACCACGGGCTTCTACAGGTCGAATTCTCACACAGAGCGAACAATCTGCTCCTTCTCGCCCCCCCCCCCCCTAAATGTGACCTCTGTACCAAGCGACATGCAAGTACCTACATGTGTGCAGCCAAAAAAGCAGTGGCTGCGAGAGAACAAGAGTTATTAGCTCGAATTGAAGCTGAGGGTCGAAATAACAGCGAAAGGATGATGGAGAGGCCTTCTGCAATGATGACAGAGTCTCTGATGACGGGGAGAGCCTCTTTGATGGCGAGAACAGCCTCAGAGACAATGGGGACAGGCCTACAGGTACGCACTTCATTGAAATCTGTCCTACCACTTCTGCTGGTTGCTCCATGAAAGTTCTTGGCTGATTTATGCAGATAATACCTCAATATCATCCTTATCCCTTCCACCCTTCTCCCCACTTCGTCCCAGAAGCTCCTGGCCCCTCTAATTGGTACCAGAGGCCACCTACATACCCTCCTGTGTCGAATTATTCGAATTTTCCACCTACCTTTTATCCACCTGTGTACCCGCCACCCTATGTTCAAGAAGGACCTGGAAATGGCTCAAACTTCGCAGAAAGGACTGTCCTAGAGGCTAGGCACGGTGGTATGAGACAGGAATTCCCCCCTGCTGAGTATAGGCCAGGACAACAGGATTGAACCGGTGGACAGGAGGGTGGAAGGAGGATCGATGTATCTCCGTGAGTATTCATGTATTTGACTCAAACTCTTTCATGACTGATAGAGACAGATCTTCTCTACACATCTATACTATTTTTATAGGAAATGCATTATGAATATTGAACAGGAAAAAAAAAAGACAGGTTCATAAACTTTGACCGGTGTCCTGGTCGGTGGAAGGGAGATCCGTGCATTAGTACACGTGGTATTTTTCCTTATCAAAAAGTCACGTGCTGGTCACGGGATTGTGCCATAATCAGAAACGTATTGTGCGCGAATTACTCTTCCACGATCGGCGGAAGACACTTTCTCCCGAACTCTGATCCTCTACGATTTATAAGTCTCCCGCATACCTCCCCCGCCTTCTTCATCTGCTTCATAATCTTACTTTCTCTCTAGACAAATCACAGAGACATTATGACCAATCAAGATGATTTTAGCTACTACTACTCACCTCATTTCACAGAAACTGATCACTTCAAAAGACATCTTCTTTGCCCCTTGTATCTCGCTGCGGAGTCAATAGGAAGATTCTTCTCCACATTGAGCCTATCGGTACCAGGAACTGTTACCACTTTGTTGATTCATCTTGAAACTTATAGAGAACAAAAAAGGAAGTTGTTTGAAAGGATCTCAGATGACTTTAAACAGCTGGGCTCACAACTTGAACATGGCACAATTGACATTGTGCTCACCGATAAAAACAAAATGGATTCAGGTGAACAACCCCCAATATTGATCAGCAGAGTTTGCATGGACGCCATCATGTCAGGACCACTGGTTTGGAATGATGAACAATTTACCAAGGCTGCTATCGTCGAAACGCTTCGTATGGTATGTCACAGGATTCAAACCAGTTCGGCTGGTTTCCACCACCATGCCATGATAACCGTTGAAAAATGGTACTCTGAATATTATGGTAAAGCTCTCTGTATCATTGACAAGAAGCCAGATGAGTCGATGGAAGATTATGCTTATAGTAGGCTGAAACGAATACAGCAATCGTTCCAGAGTGGACCATCAGGTGATGGTCCTAAGAGCGCAGTAGAGCCACGTACTGCAATCGATTATTATAATGAAGGAATCCCAAGTGAAGGAGAGAGCGGTAATGAGGGTTCAACAGATGATGAGATGTAGTCCAAGATGGAGGAATGATATGAACTCAGATACTTTGAAGCAGTTGATTCATGACTTGGTGATGACGAAAAAGGATCACATCTCTTTTGAGGTCGGATGCCGTTGGTAAAGTTAGGCCTAACCATTCACGTCGCCGTTCCGAGGGATAACTTTACCTGGTCATAGGAACCGCTAGCTACTTGTTTTTGTCCTAAACCTCCTTTCATGGGAACATGTATCCGACCGTTTTGAGGCACATCATTTCCCCTTCCTCACTTCGTCGCAGATCGTCGCGTTCCTAAGTACCGGTCGTGATCGAAACCCAAAACTCGGGGACACCTCCTGGATCATGAATCATTGTCGTGGCTCTGATGTTTCATGATGATATGTAATGGTTACCAAGGTTACCATCACTAACATATCTTAGCCCGTGCCGTTAGAGAATATACTGTACTACCCTAAAACCCGGTTCATGATCCGAACGATGCGGTGCAAATATGTGACGGGGTTTTTGGTCTACGTAGGCTATGTAGTCGATGAGGTCATTTACTCATATCTTGATGAGCAAAACTTGGAAGAAGAATGGAAAGATCAGATGCCCGTTTGTCCGAGTGTCCGATGAATTGAGTCGGACATGACATTAGGATGGTGAGACATGGATGAAGGGTTGTAAGATATCGTGGGAGGTTTGGGAGCGGAGAAACGATTGATAAGGAAAGAGATTATCTTCATGAAATATCTTAAATTCTCATGACGTCACTTATTAAGATCATCCTCTCTGTCTTTCGTCTCGACGGCGACGGAGTTGATACATCTCCGATACTCTCGGAGATGCGCAAGAACGACCTTTGAACTTGCTTCTTTCGGAGTTGTATAGAACTCACGATATGACGTATATATCTCTATCTCCAGGATGTCCGATCTCCGGAGGCAAACCAATCCTGGCCCTATTTATATGGGGAAGAAGGTCCCCGCTTGAACTGAATATCCCCTGTCCTTCTCAACTTTTGATATTTAGTATTGAGACAACATGGAGTTTCAGCCCGATCCCGAGTTGGATACCAAGCATGCCGGTTTTCGCGCCTATGTAGCTGCCGGTACCTTGGACACTATATTCTACGACGCTACGCACCGACCTGCAACGATAGCTGACATCAGCCGCTTGACGATGGGCTTGAAGATGTTCAATACCGCCAAAGTTTCGTTATTAGCAACGATACTAGGAACCCTACACTTACCCGAATTGACAGTGACGGAATACGAAAGAGATCAATTTTATAATCAATTTCTCCCCCACAAAACTGCCGAAGGCCAATCTGGCGAAGGAATGGTAATTGTTGAAACTGAGGAACTGCCAGATGACGACTCTGAAGAAACTCATCCTCACTCTGTTGCACAAGTTGCGGCAGCTGCGGCTCCGCAAATGTGCACCTTCCTGGTAAAGTTCATTGAGGATGGTCGGATCGAGTCTCAAACGCCAGAAACGCTCGAACGAGTCTATTTCGAGGTTAAAGTTGGTTCAGATGCCTTACATGATGCCGTGCTTCTCTATGCCAAGGAGAACTTTGGGAGAGAGTACAGCTTTGCCATCTCGCAATACGGTCCACCTCCTGATGAAGATCTAGAGAAACACACACTTGATATCTTGTCTTGGATGACACGGCAGGAGACATCATCTACGCCGGTCAGGTCTATACGAGAGCCGGATTTAGTCTACGGTTGATTATTGTTGGTGCCGAGTTCGGGACGATATTTCTCGAAGAGAGGACCGGAAGCACAGAAGATCGAGCCATCGGGATCAGTGGTGGAAAGTATAGGATTGGAGCTAGGAACGTATGACACGATGCATGAATGAGTCATGACACGAATGTGTCTTCGATCGATGAGTTGGGCAGGGTGTCAAAAGATTTGATTAATGATCCAATGAATTACACACACTATACACTTTACAATCTGTACTCTTACTCCTTATTCAACATCCTGCACACCACTATACGTCTCCAACACCTCTGTAGCCCCTTGCCAATCAATAGTTCCCTTCACCAATCGATCCACCACGTCGATAACGGTGTCGATAGGTCCGATCAATTGCGAAGTCGAATCACGCTCACGTAGAGTCATCGTTCCTTTTTGCAGAGAGGCGAAATCGACTGTACATCCGAACGGCGTACCCAGTTCGTCATTACGAGCGTATTTCTTACCGATGGAAGCGGAAGAGTCGTCTACTCGGCTAGCAATGCCAAGTTTTCTCATTTTATGGGCTGAGATCAGCTTTGCGTCACAGGTGCATGCAGATATAAAAGTGGTAGATGTTAGGATGGTGCACTTACAGATATCATGGATGAGTGTTCGAAGTTGAGGATCTTGTGAGATGGTGACGATCAAACATTTGATAGGCGCGACTAACGACGGGAGAGACAAGACCACCCTAGCTTTGTCTGCTTCCCTAGCCCAATAACTATGTTCGAGGAGAGAGTAAAGTATTCTGCCGATACCGAAGGAAGGTTCAATGACATTAGGAGTGAACTCGCGCACTTCCCGTCAGTGACACATCATGTGAAGATATCAAAATTATGAGACTCACCATGCTCTGTCACGATGACAGGTTCGATCTTTAATAACTCAGAGCTGATCTCATATGACTTCCCGTCGGTCCCTTTAACCGATGCCACACTACCAATCAGCAATTTTCTTTCACTGTGACAACGTCGGGTTGTTATTTAACGGAAGAGAAGAGGACTCACCCCGTTTCCAGCTCATCCTTCACGCATTGCAATCGATCCCTATCCATACCCGCCAAGGTCTCCTTCAACATCCCAGCTTCTTTCTTGAACTTCATCCCGAATGCTTTAGCGTCAAAGGTACATTCCAATTTCTCCACCACCCGAGGTTGATCAAGTTTCACTTGGACTCGTAAAGGTTGTTTAGTCCGGACGGAATGAACGGTGAGATCGTACGCTGATCTGTCGGCACATCCGACGCATTCGATCCACCCGTAAGACGATTGAATTTCAAAGTCCCAGCAGTCCTTCCGATCAGCCCTGCTTCATTCACAAATACCATAGAAACCACACAGATGATAGTGAGAACGAAGTAAAGCTGAAGCATTCGACTCACCGCCGCATAATGAGCCATCTCATTCGCCATATGCTGTCTACATCTCAATCTCTCGGGATCAATACCGATTTTAATCAAGAATAATTGTGTCCTGCCCAGGAAATACCCCAACGTCTCATTGTCGATGATTTTCTGTACCAAGTCAGCCCTCGGCCTACTCTGAAGAGGGTGAAATCACCTGAGCCACAGCTTCTCCAACTGACATATGCGTAATATCCGTTTTCCCCTCACTTTGAACATTTTTGGGGAGAAGAGCAAGTTTGACATCTTTCACTTCTGCAAACCGGGCATGTCGTTTGTCGAGAGGATCGACATAATGCTCGATTTCCGCCATTGTGAACTCACTTTTTGGTTAACGTGAGACCAAAGATAAGGGGTGAACATACCGGACACGGAGTAGACCTTGTCTAGGTGCGATTTCGTTCCTGAAACTTCTACCGATCTGTGCGGAGGCAAAAGGCACACGACCATTATTGAATTCCAATAACCTCGCGAAATTGACAAAATGTCCCTGAGCTGTTTCCGGTCGAAGGTAGCTACGATGTCAGCTTATCCGGATATTCCTGTGGGTCTTACTGGACTGACCCTTTGATCTGCCCGGTGGGACCAATGTTACTCTCGAACATCAAGTTGAATTCCACCGGCTCTGTCATTTCATTCCCCGTACTGGGATTGACGATCTTGTGTTTCCGTATAAGCTCGCCTAATTCTGGTCCGGTGTAATTGTCGATTTGTGCGAGGAGACTTTCATACTCCGCTACAACCTCATCATCTAACTTCACAGCCACAGTTTTGACGTTTTTCTTCCTTTTTTTCTTCTTATCGTCTTCCTCCACTTCGACTTCTTCTTTGACACCACGAGCTTCTTTGTCGCCTTTCAACCTAGCCTCAAGGACAGCTTCGACGAGATGATCCGCTCGGAATATTTCTCCCGTTTGAACGTCTTTACACATCCAGTCGGCAAATCTGGGATTAGCTTCACATTCTACATACAGTATCATACAGACGGAAGATTCCAGGAGAGACAAAACTGATGACACTCACTTGTCCACGTGACCAGAAGTTTTGAGCACATCAGATAGAGTCATGATGGTGGTGTCTAATTCCAACATGTCTTCTTCGATTATATAATGTTTTCTCCAAGCGTCCAATATGTTAGCCTGTAAGGCTGAACCGGTGGGACCGTAATCATACAGCCCAGCGACACCTGGTGATCAGCACGGGCCTTCGGTGAATACTAGTGTAGGAGGATGAACTTGTGGTGAGCTGACAGCTGCACTTGATGTAGCTGTAGACACGGGTAGAATGCTCTGTGTAGATCCCACTCACCACCGTAGATCTCGAAAGCAGGTGCGAAGAAGAACCTCCTTGCCAACATGGCATCCAACATGACCTTGTCAAAGGCATGAGCGGATTTGTTGATTGGTTGAGCCAATGTGGAGGGTTGAGAGACGGAAGCGTGGGACGTCATTCTGCGACGTGGAGCGAGTTTGATAAGAGTGTGCTGACGAGGACGTAGAGTTGTAGTTGTGTATGGGCAGAGGTGACGCAGTAGGGGAATGGTCATGAAAAAGTTGGAAATTCGACTGTCATTTTGCAACCGAGTCGTCGCTGGAGGGTAACGCCACATTGTTATTTCGGTCGTAACTCCGTAACGCCGAAGGCATCCCTTGTCTCGATCGTCTCTGCATTCGTCTCCGAAGAAACATCTTTAGTCTGTGAATGACGAACAACTGATCAGGAGTATAAGCGAAGGCGGCTACATAACGGTTGGGGATGGGACATACTGTGGTCCGATTCATATACATGAGCATTTGTTTGTTGTTTCGTGCTTGAAAGCCCGGACTTCGACCGGTCAGCGGTCAGCGATCTGCGATGTCACAAGGTCTGTCTGCTGCCATACTGAACATCGTCGCTGAATGTGAGAACGGCGGCCGGCGGTGAGGGAGGGGCGGGAGGAGCATACGCAGGGATGAAGGCTAAAGTCACTGTTTGACTTTGTGACCCCAGTCGCAAAGCAGTACTGTGATCCTGTGAGAGGTAGCATGTCGCATGCAGTGTGATATCGATCATGTCAGTATGAAACCTCCCTTCACGTTCAACACTTTTACTTTGTCATCTCGTTCAAAGATGAGAACATTGAGTGGGGCAGATCAACAATGGTTATTCTCACCTCGGGCGTTACATCAAACACCTTCTCAAGATGAAGGTATGACATATGAACAAGAGTTGAAAAGACGGAAAACCACCGTCGAGTATATTCGTAGTCTCGCTGCCAGAGCTCAGATGTGAGTGTCTTCCCTCCCCTTCTTACCTCCTCCCCCCTCTCCTAACCACCCTCCAGAGTTCAGCACTCAGCAGCTAGCCGCCGGCTGCTAGTTGCCAAGATATAGCAGACATGAGCTGAGAGGTATCATTCAATAACCGAGGAAAGCTCGCTGAGATGTAGGGAATGGCCACAAGGTAGAGGTGTGGTTTCAGTAGCATCTACTCTCGTCCATAGATTTTACATGCGAAGATCACTTCAAGACTTTCCAGAACAGGTGAGTCATACTCGTACTTTCTTCTCATCCCATCCGTTATCAAAGTATCATCTTTGATTTGGGGCATGTGTCAACTATATCTCTGGTGTGTGATATGTGACAACTATGAAGGATCAATGGCTTAACTAATCTTACAGGTCATAGCTCCCACATTGTTATTCCTCGCTAGCAAGATAGAAGAAGAACCATGCAAATTACGATACATCTGTAATGCTTGTTTGGTCAAATTCGATGGTGATGAACATGGAGCTTGGCATCCTAATGAAGAGAATGATGTGAGTGTTTTCTTCTATTCAAATTTCCTTTCTAAACCCCCATTGCCCATGTTCTCCTCATACCGCCATCAATTTTTCATCGCATCTCCGTACGACTTCATCGTCTTCTCAATTACGAATACTTGAATGACATTGCCAGATCCCACCTTCAAGAGAATATCGTCGATGGGAAAAAGATATTTTATCATGTGAAGAAATCGTTCTCGAGACATTATGTTTTGATATGGATATAGAACAACCTTGGGTCGTTTTATGGTATGCTACGAGAGGTTTAGACAATTTACGTCTTCCTCGAACATCTTCTTCTTTCCTTGATAATCATCCGACCGAAATTCCTGTCGTAAAAGAAACCATGGAGATCATGATACAAGTACCGGAAAACCAGCAAGACGACATTCCTATGGTTTTGGATCCTTTATCTGCCGGAACGACCACTCGTCCTGATGTATCTCAAAATACCGATTCTATCTTTGAAACCTTGCCCAAGTCAGAGGAAGATATAAATCATACTTTGATGGAACCGATCAATAACAGTGTCAAGGATGAGTCGGGTAATATGAAGGAGCTTAAGAGGGAGCACAATGATGGACATGAAGAATCGAATGGACATGTACAAAAAGAAAAATTGAGAGCAACGGAGGAAATCGTACCTGAAGTTTCTTGGCCGATATTGAACCAAACGTACGTTTCCTTCATCTTTTCTTTACCTCTCTTATACCTCATATACACAACGAACACCAACCTTGCGATCTTCTTTTGATATTCATTCATTCTCATTTTTACTTTTATTCATCTCTCAGACGACGGACTTCTTCCTCCCCTCTGCCCCAGGCGTACTGATAGGGGGTGGGGCAGGTGGTGGTGGTGGTGGTGGTGGTGGTGCGGTGGGTTTGTTTGGGGCTGGCAACTTGGCACAGAATGAATGAAGAAGCCGAACTGTAAACTAAAACTTCAGTTCCCTCACTCCCCTCAGTATCCTCTTCCCCGCTTCTGTGATTGCATTTGCAGCACTCATCCTCGTTGTATCCATCGTGGAAGAAATCCCATTATCAAAAGCTTACTCCTGGGCTGGTGAAGTCGGATGGAAATTTCATCTGGAAGTAGAGTTCGATGAGGAGGTAGGGGTGAAAGGGGAAGATTTAGAGATAGTCAAACGTACGTTATTCGTTATCATCTCTCTTACCTCTTGCTCCTATTATTCCATTGCCTCTGTCTGAAATTCTCTCTACATGTACCCTCTCTCGTACTGAATTATTCCTTTTATATATATATATATATATTTTCTTTCCCTATTCTCGCTTCTCCCATTCAATCAAACCCCTCCTCGACCCTATTTGTTGTCTTGTTCATCCCGTCACTCCTTTCCCTCAAGTATATCGTATTCATCCATACATCATGACTTCTTTCCGTATATAAATGGGATAAACGCTGATTGATGAGAATGCGTAGAAAGTATATTAGAATATTCCAAACAAGGATTATTAGATCAAAACTTGATTTCTTTCATCCCCGTGAGTAATCTCAACAACTAGATTTAGAAGTCAACTGACATTCCAGCCCGAAACACATTCTACTCAAAAATATGAAAGGAATTTCCGTTCACCACTTAAACCTTCTATATCTCAACCTCGAACACCATACCATCCCACAACTCTCAAATCATCTCCTATGAAAGAAGGAAGAGAAACACCTTTAGTCCATCCCTCTGTTCCTGATACACTCATGGAAGGAATAGATGGTACTCCATTTATCTCCACACCTCTTGAAGATCAGAGAATGGAACGAAATACGTTCTCTCAAGTAACACCGATAATTCATAATGGGATGGAAAATGAAGCAGATGAAAGAAATTATTTATCTGTACAAACTCCTATTTTTTCACCTGCTTTACCACCTTCATCTCTAACTCCTTTTCCCTCTTCCACCCACCCGACTCAAGGAGAGCTTCTCAACGAGAAGAATGAACATGATGAAGGACATTCGAACTTGTTATCACAACAAGTTGGGGAAAGAAATGGTCAGGAGATAGAACAAAGAGAAGAGTCAAACGATGGGGATTTATTTGGTGATGATGAGTGAAACAAATTTGGACTTTCTGACTGAAGTGAAATTGTCTTATTTGAGATCTGACATTTGATAATCAGACCAGACCATCTGGTAATGAAGTAAATATTTGTTCATGTGTTGTATGAAAATAATTCAATCAAACTTAAACACCCATGACGGATAACCAACCTTTCCCTCCATCAGATCTACCAGGACGGAAAGAAGGTGTGGTTAATAAACTAGGTATGAGAGGGTTTGATGATGTTGATGAAGCTTTTCTATTTCGTAATGAATTTTGTGCTGTTGATCAGTATTCTAAAATTCCTCCTTTTTTTTTTGTTCATTTGACTCAGACCATTGAGTTGATTTCCTATTCAACAAGAAACATAGTCTCTCTCTCGGGAAGATAATGATATGATTGGGAGTTTTGGATTCTCCGACATGGTCCAAGATAAATTGTTTATGCTCGGCCACCTGACGACAGTGGAAGTGGGGTTCGAGTATACACGATTCTCTTCCGATGATTTATTTCTGAGAAAAAAAAGGGTTTAAGCAAACATCCGAGTGAATGATAAGAATCTTCGGAGGTGAAAGTAGGAGTACGATTGTTTCTCAAAACACTGAAGTATGTGTGGTGGGAACAAGTAGAAGGGAACAACTCACCACAAGCTGTTATCTCATGTATGTTGGTTTCTAATACTAAACCACCTTGTATGATCTCACTTAAAACATGGTGAACATCATCGAAATGAAAAATAAGATCAAGTTCACAAACATTTTCGAATGCTCTATCTAAAGATTCTACGAAAACCTCTTTGGTCAGAACATATAACCTCTAATTTTTCTTTACACATCCAACAATGTTTCTCCCCTCCACTCATCAGAAAGGTCCATCTTTGGTGATGGTTGTTTGTTCTTAGATTGTGACACAAGGACGAGAAACTCAAGGTGGTGGGCGAGGAGAAGATTGTAGATTGGTATTAGTTTGATAAAAGAGAGATGAGAAGTTAGAGAGATATGTAGGAAAATACATACTTGTATCAAATCTAATATTCCCAATTCACTCTCAGCTCCATCTACTACGAACCTATACTTCAGCTTTACTTTCAATCATCTTCAGAGTATTCCATGCAATCATTCACCATAATTTCAATTACAGATTGGCTGACATACGTTTCCTTGAAGACCCACCATCATATTTTCCCTTCAAGATCCCGCTCAATCATTCGTCTGAAAAGATACTCTTTGACCCATCCCGAGTTATCCCACCTCTCATCATAGGATAAAAGGGTTGAATCTGGGGGGATAAAAGGATTGGATCTAAGGAGGGATTGGAAGAGAAAGTAAAACTCACACGAAATATAAAGTAGCATAATGTCGATAAATAACTCTGGTATCATCTTCCCCTTTCCCACCTATCCCACTTGAAGATCCTTCTGATTCTCTCCCCTTTCCTCTCACACTTTCAAACGATGTCTTACCATCGTATGGGCTTTCCAAAGTAGAACCAATTTTGGTTCCCGTTTGCGAGGGGAATACTAGATCTGGAGCGTCGAGGAAGTTACATACACCACTGGGTCTATCTGAGATGAGAGAGAATATTTGTGAGATGAGAGATTGTTGGATTAAAGCTGATAGAGGTGTATAGAATTTAGATAAACGAGGTTTACCTGGGAGTTAATGATTTGCCTAGATACATCGTCAAGATGATAGGAACGATCTTTGGATGTTTGAGGAAAGAGATGGGAGGGGAAGAGCAAGAGAAAGGGATGATGAAGTGATTGAAGAGATTGAGAAATTGTCAGACGGTTAGAAAAGAGGTGGACACTTTACCATGAGTGTTAAAAATGAGAACGGCGTGAATCATCGTGCTTTGTGTGGGAGGATATGTTCTCCAGCAGGGTAAAGAGATGATTTTGGTATTAATCTGAATATTGGGGATGCCTTCGGTCTAGGAGGTTGTAGAAAGAATGAGATTGAGAATGAAGGAGAGAGGAAACCGAGGAGGGGTGTCCTTGTCTATTCCCCACCCTCCCCCCACTCTGTCTCCACAATAGGAAGTCACAAGGTGAGTTGACTAGCGAGCAGAGGCTTTCAGGGAGATGCCTGTACTGCACGCATGATGAAAGTGAAGTAAGGTCGTTGTCCAGCATGTACAGATATTTGCATAAGATGTTTAATGTTACCATACACTTTGTTACACCATCTCACCACTTAGGTAAACCATACTTTACCCTCGCTCGAGGTTCGACATAAAGGTATCCTAAAGGAGTGAATGTCATCAATTTCGCCCAAGTGTATAAAGAAGGAATATATTGTGTACTGTTGGGTGGTACGTCCAATGAACGGAACCATGAGAAAGGTGGATAAGGTATCAGTGGTTGTGGTGCTGGGTTGAGGGAAAGATTAGTGAAGATTGTCTTGACGACTGAAGATTAGCTTTCAGGGATGGTTGAATTGATAAATATTTGTTGATGGGTGATAGTATGATAGTTGAGACTTGGTAGTGTAGATAGTAGTGGATTGATGACGAACCCGTTTCAGGAGAAAGTAGTAAAGATTCCAATCCACTCTTAATTGAACTCATCTTAGTTTCATCCCTTCCTGGTTGACCAGAAGTCGAAAGTTTAAGTCGGAAATCATTATTTATCGTACCAGGAAGTAAACCTATCCGTCAATACACCTCCCCACCCCACTCCTTCAGTGCAGCATCTTCATATTCCCTGTGGGCACCCATAATAAACGATCGATCATTCCTGGGGAGGGGGGGGGGGGGGGGGGGGGGGTTAGTTGAGAAGAAAGGTCGGACTCACTGAAAAATCTAACACCACATCCTTCACATTCCACTCTAGCAGCTTCCATAGCTATCAAAGCTGCTCCTTTCGTAGATCCATATACGACCCTATGTGGTGGTGTGATTCCAGCGGCAACGGAAGAGAGATGATGTACCACTGGACTTTTAGAAGTAGCTGATAATAAGGGTAGCTGAGAAATCAGCGATGTTTCTTGTCGATTGAGTACAGGACACTTGAAAGTGGAAGAGGTGAGAAACTAGTAATGGTAAGGAGGTAAAGAAGTGAAGACTCACAAAACAAGTCAGAGCTAACAAAGTTCCAACGTAATTGACCTCACTAAGTTTTCTAGCGTCTGCAGCTACCACATCCAAACCTTCTTTCGTTGGGATTCCACCAGGTACATCGGGGAAAGTAGCTCCTCCAACATGAAAATCTCTTCGTTTGATACCGGTGTAAGAAGCCCGGGAAGAGGGTACGGGAGAGAGATCTACTCCTGCTTGACCTAGTAGGGTCAAAGTGGATGGGAGACCAGCGAGGATGTGAAGAGTATCAAGACCTTCCCAAGCTGGGCATGAGCGTCAATTCTTCCTTCACTAGCTCGCCTCCCTTGACTTCTCATACCTTCTACCTCAGAAAAGACCATCATCTGCAAAAACTGATAATATATGTTCGATCGCAGAGCTGAGCACGGTAGATGGAGAAGAGAGTGAACGATCAAAGTATCATAAGCAATGTTTAAACTCACCATTGTATATGACATCCCTTATAGATATCAAATCTGAAGTATTGCTAACATCCCCAGCGAACATGATCACTTTCTCTGCGTCTAATCCCAAGGCGACACATTCCTCTCTAACCTTCTCCAACTCGGTCTGTCGTCTAGCTACCAAACATCTGTCGTCACACTCTGACCTTCTAGCAAGACATGGTAGAAAAGACAAATCAGAGAACTCACATTCTGGAACCTCGTTTGGCATAAACCAAAGCTAGATCTCTTCCCACCCCAGAACTCGCACCGAGTAAAAGGACCCTCTCTTGTTCAAATGGGAGCTGAGCTTCTCTAGGTGGGAGAGGACGACGTTTTAGAAGTTTGAGAAGGATAGGGATAGCTAGTAATAACCATAATTTTGAGGTCATTGTAGTTTATGGAATGTACTGTATGTATAGGTTGAATGACGAAATGAATCTAATGACATTTTGGGTTGTCTACGGCGTCGATTTAGTCTCATCGCAACTTTACATTCTTCATCTTCATTTCTCATTTGACATCCTACATCTCAATCATCTTTCTTGGACCATGCAGCCATCTGTCACTGTGCGTGCATCCCTCCTCAATATCCACACGCCTCTCCATACGATTCCATCAACTCTGCTTATCACTTCTCTGTGTCAGATGTGTTCTATCATCCTACCTCAATTTGTGACTGGCTACTGCTGACATCCTAGATTTACTGGATTCCATCTTGCTCCTGATCTACAGAAAATGCATTGGAGGAGCTTGAAGAGGTGAATGCGGTGCTATAATCCAATCTGAGCATTCTGGAGACTGGTCAATGAAGTATTGGGAGGGGTATTGGCAGAAAAGAGACGAAATTAACTAACTTACTTGAAGGGTTGGTGTACTTAGTGGAACAGTAAGTTGAAGCCTTTTCTTCCCTTCTACCACATTCCACTATATGTCTTTCTCTCTCTCTTTCTATGAGGTTTCATCCTTATCTGACAATATAAGACGCAGTAGATAGTGACATGCATCATCTCTATCCCTCAATTGACTGTCTTACAGTTGGGGAGGTAAATGTGGCACTTTTTGCGCCCAAACATTGAATAAATTGTCCAGTTTGTCAGAGAAGAAAAACATCTCCCACAGGAGCTTTTGTATGCATCTGTAAGTACAAGAAGGTAGCTATCAATGTACCAATTCTGACCATGGTACTTTTATGCATATGCGAGGTGTTTTGACGGAGATGCGGTAGTGGTGGGAACAAGTGAAATTTGAAAAATGAAGATGAAGAATGCAAAGTTGCGATGAGACTAAATCGACGCCGTAGTTGTCTCCTTCGCAACGTTCCCTCTCCTTCTTATCACAACATTATCATTAATCTACTTCTTTTGACATTACATGTTTGATCACTTTTACTAGTTATCTCTCCATCTTCATTCAAGAAGATATCAGAATCGTTTATAAGAATACATCCAGAACACATAGCATCATGGCCAAGGGTAGGTCAATCTCATCGTCCTGCTTGTTCTTCTTTGGGGACTTCCACTTGCCTAATCTGGGTCAAGAAGGACATGCAAGCTGACAAATAGTGCCTCGTAGTTTCAGACTCTTGTCAGAGCTGGAACATGGTGAAAAAGGTATAGGAGATGGTTCATGTTCCTATGGTCTCAAAGTGAGGTCAAGCATCATCCACCTCACACGACAACAGCTTTCCCCCTTCTCGTAGACCTCATCCTCAGCCGACCACGATGGACTGGATATCCCATCAAACTCATCATCCGTCATCACGCAGATCTCATCATGAGAGCAACAGTCAAGATGATTAATTGAGACGTATAGCAAGTTGACAAATAGGACGGCGATGACTTGGCTATGTACGAATGGAACGGTACTATTCTAGGTCCCCCTCATTCCTCATACGAAAATCGGATCTTCTCTTTATCCATTTACTGTGGAGATAAGTACCCAGGTGAGATTTCATCTGGTCCACTTTTCAAGATCTAGCTGACATATAGACTTGCCACCGTTGGTCAAGTTCGAGTCGAAAGTCAACTTACCATGTGTAGACCAGCAAAATGGGTTGGTGAGTGATGCTTCTCACCCCATCAAACACGTTCCCTCACATATCGCTGAAGCCCCCACGAGTCTCACACATTTCTCTTGTCTATCTTTTACATGGTAGACGAATGCTGATACTGATACTGTAGGTCGACCTTTCTCGTATCCCGTCGTTGGCAAATTGGAAACGAGATTTTACTCTCGAAACTATTCTTGTGGAGTTGAGAAGGTCAGTACGAGTGTAGCATCTATTACCTTCCCTATATCCTCATGATTTCCTACCTCTTTCCACTTGTCATCATGTCTCAAATTACCAAATCATGCATGACCGAGTCGAAACTGATCTCAAGGGATATGGCTTCCCCTGTCAATCGTAAGAACCCTCAACCGCTTGAAGGTGCCGAATATCCCCCTGCAGACCTCCAAACGCTGGCCAAGAACCGTAAGGTCTGAACAAGACCTCAATTTATGAGTCAGAATGGTATGCTGAGACGTCGGAGGAAATACGTGAGATAAAGGGCTTCATTAACGCCACGATCGCATTTTGTCGACATGCAAGTGATTACTCTCTTCTCAAACTCATTGATATCAATCTATCCCGTGTAGCGGAATGTCAATCAAATGGAATGAGATCAGATGGATGGAGTGAGAAACTTTAGGTCTGGCCATCTCATGAGGAAAGGAAGTTTATCTTATTATCCTTACACCAACGACCCTACAGCTGAATACCCAAGTTTGAACGCCCCGAGGAGTGAAGAAGGTGATGGAGAAAAACAACTCGGCGATTATGCCTCAATCCGACTCCCGCCGACCTTTCAAAATCTCCCATCAAAGGAATAGTTCAACGTTTCACCGGACAAAGGGACCACTACCCCCCAACTTCAAACAGGCTGCGACCTCGTTTCAATCGACCCAAAGTTCTCACTCTTTTCACCCTTCACAGCAAAGAGGTTCGTTCCCATCGCTCGAAGAGGGGTGAGAAAGGACACGAGTGAGGACAAAGGTTCCTTTGATAGGTATCACCGACTGACATGGAGTATCTTTACTGACTTGACTTCTTCTACTTGTTCTCCCTTCTCTCACTTGTTGACTCGCGGCTGGTCTGCGTTGTTGTTTTGACCTTAACGATTCGTCTATCCTCTTCACAACCTCTATTGGCCACTTTTTCTCTCCCGTCACCCTCTGTCCCTTACTCAGCTTATCTGTCGAAGCGTTCTGTGACACCTCCACTGGAGTAGTATCGCTCACAAACGCAGTCTAGAACAACTC